CTATATATATATACTATAATTTTTTCCTAAGGACATGTCACACATTACGACCTGTGCATCAGGTGAAGAGCGACAGAGCGAAGAGTTCCTTTACACATGTTTTAAAGAAAAATAAAAACACGGTTTACCAGCCAGAGCGGACTTCCAGAGGTGTCCAGCCTGTCCCTGGTCCTTGGAGCAGTACATCTGTCCCCCCCAGCCGTTGGTTAGTGCCCAGGGCTGGTAGCTGTCCATGGGGAGCAGGGTGTCATGGCGCGGCTCTCCGGCGCCCAGCGTTTGGACCACCGACACGTCCAGGTAGCTCGCCATGGACTGGTACGGGCTCGGGTAGCCGTGGTAAAAGGCGAACTCCTTGGCCCGGTGGTTCGTGTACTCATTCGAGTTCACCGTGGTGTCCATATACTGCGAGCTGAGTGCGGCTCCCGCCGCCTGAGTGCATGACTTCACTGAACCCCGCCCCATCCTGCACGGATAGTAGCCGTTACCGAAGTAGCTGTACGGCAACCCGGTGGCGGCTGAGGAGCTCTGGTGCGGCCCGGCCGCGCACTGCTTCCCCGAAGACCCAACTGTGTCGGAGCCCGAAGCAGACACGTCCATCGCAGCGTAACCCGCCGAGGAGTGCACCAGGCTGGACGCATGGCCGCCCAGAGCAGCGGCGGAAGCCGAGTGCGCCATGATGTTGCGGCACTGGCTAGCGGCGAAGTTGCTGCTGCCCACCAGCCCCTCCATGTTCTTGTTCAGGTCGTCCAGGTTGTTGTCATACACAAACATCACCGTTTCCGCTGGCCAGCGTGGGTTTAGAACCAAGGAGGCTGTCATAGGCGCTCCTTTTCCCCGGTCTGGCCTCCGTTCGTCGCCGTTTCCTCTCAGACTCTGACCGGTCCTGCGCGCTGAGCTGCTACATTGGCTGGATGAAGGTGAACTGGCGCGCGTTTATTCTCTATCTGATCGCTAGCTCTCCTGCTCACGCAGCTCAGGTAATTCACATGTACCCGTCTCGTGCACTGTCGTAGCACGCGCGCGCTACCGTACTACTGCGCCGTTTAGTGACGGTGCTCGCTCGGAGGCAAAGACTCCCGGTAACCGACCGGACCTCCGGTTACATCCCAGCCGCAGCCTTGACGCACCAAGCCCCCGGGACAAGGAGATGAGGGAGGGGGCGCGTGTTCATTGGATGAGACTGGATGATCACGTGATGGTGCAAACGAGAAGAGGGGGGAGCAGGGAAAGAAGAGACTTGTTGGGGATTGTCAGTCAAAGAAACATATTTTTATGAGGCTCGAGCTGTGGCACGAGAAGAGCATGAGCTCCCTGGAACTCTTTCAGCTCCCTGTCCTCGTGCAGCTGCAGCGTGTAGAACTCAAGTGTCTGATCTCCTGCGACTGCCAGGAAGAGAGATATTATCACTGAGAAAAAAGATAAATCACTTGGAACAGTTTTGTGTCGTGCGTAAAGACGCACGGGGAGCACAGAAACACTGAGTAGTTTATTTATATAAGTATAATACACATGTAGACACAACAATTGAAACGAAGTCTCCTAACATTGAAACAAATAAAGATTAATTCTTATATGTTTAATTCTTCTAAAATCTAAATATTCGACCTCTGGTGTAAAAATGAGACTTATGGACACATTTAAAGACTTATAACCAGTGCTGTTTAATGCATGAAAAAAAAGTTTATCATTGCCATAAAAGTATTAAAAATACCAACATATCAGGAGTATTTCCAGCCTTTGATTATTAAATTAGAAACATTTGATTATTAAAATAATTGTACCGCATGGACATTTCTCAGCCTGAATTTATGTGTACTTTTAGCCAGGCTCTCTCTCTCTCTCTCTCTCTCTCTCTCTCTCTCTCTCTCTCTCTCTCTCTCTCGCTCTCTCTCTCTCTCTCTCTCTCTCCATATGACTGAAGGAAGCGTAAAAGGAGATTTATGGAAGGGATTTTGGAGGTCTTAAGATTTGAGAAATGTGGCTTCGGATCAAAGCGCGTCAGGAAAAGTTTTTTTCACGGCATTTGTGAGCCGCGTTATTTGCAGAAATCATTTCACCGGTCTCTCAAACTGCGCCTGGTGCTGTTTGAAATTGAATTCTTCTGGCGCTGTTTTTTTCTTGCACAGTAAAAGGCATTTTTAGGATGGAGCTCCTCACGCACTCACTTCATGGATTCACTGTCACGTTCTACATCTATTTTCAGCGACACGTGTCGCCGTTTTATGTTGAAAGCTTCCTTGTGAACGATGGAATAATTTGTTCTAATAAGTGACTGCAAACAGGACTCTGTGTTGTCGTGGGATGAATGTGTTATTGCTATTGTTATTAATGTGTTAGTTACCATCAAATATCACCTCAGTGGGCCACTCTGAAAGAAAACAAAGCGTTTGAAGACGCCACGCTTTTCGCCTTTTGCTTCAAATGGAAGCGTTCAGTTTGAGCGCTATTTTATACCGATTTGTTAGATATTATACATGTTAGTTTACGCACATTTTGGTATCCGTGACAACCATGAGATGCACCATGAGCTCCCAATGCAGACACTTTAAGCTGAGGCTGGCAGCTAAAGGTCGGCAATATTATTTGATCTTGTTCTACTGTACAATATGTTGGTTGGTTGGCCGTGGAATCCACACCTACAGTGGTTACTTTCTCTTCCCTTCCAGGGGCCTGTAGGTGCTGAAGAAGTACGCATTGTGTTGTGTTATACAGCAGAATATATTCCGTAAAATATAATATTTTAGCATCAGATCTCATTTTGAAGAGAGCGGTACCAGGACAGTAGCACCTGTGTGAAGCTGCTCCAGGTGAGCCGGACAATAAACACGCACACACGGCAGTTTTCTCTCCGTGTTTACTTCCACTGCGTATAAAGCTTGACTATCTGGAGTAAGTTTAAATAAATCAAGCTGTTGTTTGAGTTCAGTGGAGACTAAAAAACATAGCATGTCCAGAGAAAGTACATAAAGTGTTCTGAATGATTCTAGATTCAGAGGCAGCAGCAACATTTTAATGTAAAGCTTCAAGACATTATGAAGGATGCACAAGGTGGTGAAGGAGAATCCAGCATTTGTCTTTGTCTTTGTTGGATTTGTTGTCCGGTCTGATGTTTGGCGATTAAGAATACACGTGATCTTTCAAAAAAACAATTAAAGTAAAAGAATGTAATACCAAACAAGACATTCAATTAACACAAATTAACTTAAAGTTCACTTTTTTGGAATAAATGTTGCTTCTCAATTTGCTCATGAACACAGAAAGATGCAATTAAAAGCTCTAGAAAAGTAATGTTTTTGTTTGTGTTTTTTATTTATCTGTGCCTTATTTTATTTTTTCAAATAACTGCACCAATGTCAAGAATTAATTTTCAAAGTCTAGTAAAAGATAAAAAGAGATTATTGAGTGTCAGTTTGACGGGCTCATGGCTTACAGAAAAAGAAAAGAAGGGAACCAGCTCTTGAAGTCAGTAGTGAACACTGTGAAGCTGTTAGAAGCTTATATTACAGGAGAGTGAACGCCACTGAATCCTTCCTGTGCATGTCTGACGTGAGTCCTCCATCCCATCACAACACCGAACTCACTGAGGACCAAACCAACACAAACCGTTGGTTTAAAAAAGCTTAACGTTGTCTGTGGGCCTAACAAACACATAAACCACCCAGACAGTCGGTCTCTCTCCCATAGTGTGGTCTGCTGGGGCTGAAGGTGAAGGGGGGGGGGGGGGGACTAGCCCCCGAGGGTCAAGGTCAAGTTTAACACGGAAAGGGAGGGAAGGATGTGAGGAGAGAGGGGGGGGCAGACAGAGAGAAAGACAGATGCAATGAGGTCAAGTTCAAGGCCACCGCACACCTTGAAGCCTTCTGTTTCTGTGCGTGTGTGCGTGCGTGCTTGTGTGAGACCGCGCATGGGTGACAAGGAAGACGCCATGGTGTCTCAGCGATGGGCAGCGGCCCGCACGGTCCAATATAACCAGTCTAACCGGTATAGAGACAAACATCAGCCCATAGATCATTAACCAGATATTGCCTCAGTGCACTTGAGGGAAACTCAATCACTTTATTCCCCCTCAGTATGAAATAAGACAAATGTGTTTCTCAGGTCCACAGATGATCAAGTAGTAGTGCATTTTCTCCCACACTTTGACTCTGATTTAGTGATGGTGGGCCGCTAACTGCTGCATGAATGCACAGATATTACTATTTGTATAAGTTTATAATGTGCAGTATGTAAAGGATGTATGTGTGGAGCTAATGATTGATAGAATCACCCAGAATCTAAATTAGCCCCCCCCCCCCTAAGAAGAAACTAAAAAAGGTTACAAAAAGAAAACCTAAATAGTGTTCTGATAAAAAACACATTAAAATAATATTAATATCAATAACCACACGGAAATGCGTCATCATCTCCGGTTTGAATAAACTGCAGTGCTGATGAACGTCATCAGGTGTCAGTTTATATACTAAATTATGACCCACTTTGTATCTGTGGCCTATTTGACGCTGAGCGCATTTTTGGATTACAATAATATTCATTTTATTCTCATAAAAGCATAAAGAAAAAGTTGTTTTGACATCTCCAGGCTCTTGCAGCCATTCGCACATATTATTTACATTTACTTTATGCTTATTTATTATTGTATTTATCTACGTGTTTTTGTCACACGAGTATCACGCGTGGCATTAAGTTCAATTGGAAACTCGTTATTCGTTCATCAGGCGGGAGCGCAAACAGAAATAAACCCAACAGCCTAAAACTAACAATTAAAGGCTTAATGACAGAGGCAACGAAAGCACAAGTCAGCGTCACAGAACGGGCCCACTGACGCTGCTTTAGTCTTAATACACCTCAGTGTGGAGACACTAAGACACGTGGACAAGAAGGCCTGATAGAGGGATTTGTATTATTTCGAGTATACTCGTCAAGTCTGATCTGATGTGTTATTTTAGTTGTGTTTTTAGCTGCACACTGAATTAGTGAAGCACATTAAGTCAGTGTTACAGTGTTTGACGTCACAATCAGAATCGGTTTTATTGACCAGGTACAAACATAAACAGGTTAAAATGCATAGATATTTAGATATATAGACAAAGAGACATAT